TCATGGAACGTACATGAACAAAATCTCTCTCAAAGGACAAACAGTTATGATGTGGGTTAGTAACCATTTCCCCTCTTTTCAGTGATTGTGCATGTACACCTTCCACTGTAGGTGACTCATCAGCAGTTCCCTTATAGGTGGAGGGGCTATGGCTCATTAAGCAGCAATTGTAACACTCATTTGCTAAAGCCAGATGATCATGAGTTGAAAAGATATGGATAGGACTGTGTCATTGCCTTGCATATATCAGTAATTGAAACACTGCTCAGAAAAAGTGATTGAGCAAGCCCTTATTCTCACTGGAGGAGAGATTTAAGCAACATTGTCAAAGAGCTTAATGCAGTCGGAAATCCAGTGTGAGAGTCAAGATTGACCTTTAATTGTCTCAATACAGGCTACAAGAAGTCTGAAGGAAGTCCTGAATTACTTAATGTAATCCAAATAAAATGCCTAGGCTACACAAATATCCAAAGTATGAAATGTTCTCATTCATCTCCAGGTGAGAGGTTTCAGGAAAAAAACCACACAAATATAAATTGTTTGGTTTAGATGGAATACTGACATTACCTACAGCATAAACTTAGGGTGTGGCCTCAGGGAAGCCATATCCTTATGGAATACCATAAAGAGAGTCAAGAAGACAGCCCTAAGTTCTAAAACCATTCTTATGGAAGTGACAGCATTTCTGGAGGCTATCTGCATAAACGATGAAGACAATTAAATTGTAGCCATAAGTTCAAAAGGGGATCTCTGAGTCTGGAAGGGACTAGAGAGATGTAAATTCCATACAGATAAAGTAGCAGACACAGGAAGGTAAATGGGGATGAGGCCTTTCAGAAATTTAGAAATGAGAATGAAAAAAATGGAAAAATCAATCTATTAGTAGATACAGTGCAGAAACAGAAGCCCAGAGAACTTCCACAGAATTTATTGGAAGGTCTGTTGACTTTAGATATAAAGATAACATAGCATGTGTGTAATCTCTATGTGATAAGGAAATAAATGCTGAGATAATTAATCCAAACCAAAATCTCTTCTTCACTCTATATGTGGCTCCAATGGTCTCTCTTCTTCTACTCACTATGATGGTCTGGACCATTCAGGAGCACAAATTCTCAAGTATTCAAACAGCAATCTTCCATGTTGTAAAATGGTGAGTTGAAGCTGAGATGCGGATACTTATTCTCATTCTGAGACAAGATTAGAAGTAAAATTATCAGCGGCTGGATGGAACACTGATATAGGTCCATAAACTAGTATTGTCTCACATCAGCTTCCTGAGTACCCTCAGAATGAGAAATTAGAGGAAACATATAGGACAAGATTAGACCATAGAAGATAAGCACTTGTGATGGAACCTGGGCTGTGGCCTGCCCTGGAACAGTGTTTCATGTAGTAGTTCAGATTGGCAGTGAATTGCTTTTATTGAACTGCTTGTATTGGTTTAAAAAACATCCTGAGGGAATACGCGCTTGTGTTTCTGATTCAAGAAGATGAAAGGGGACTGGAGAGCTGTTTTCCTATAAGCTATGCATTTGTGTGGTCACGCAGGAGAGATTCTAAAGGCACTTAGCTGATTAGCACAGAACTCACAGCTTGGTTTGTGTTTCCTCTGGTGGTGCATATTTGCATGTCTTTTGGGGTGCACATATAAATTTATTCCACATATGGACAGAAAACATTAGAGGGAACATTGCTGATGAGCACTTAGATTTATAAAGTCTTGAACCAGTACTGGAGGACTTACTAGGAGATTTTTTGGGAGAAGAAATTTCAGAAAGTTTGAGTGCTTCAAAACTGGCAAAGACGAAGCATGATGTAGGGTACCAGACGTGTGCTTTGAATGAAAAACAGCTGGAGAGGCCCATCAGGTAGATTCTCATGTCTCCTGTGTTGTGATCGAGCTCAGCTTCACTGTGGGTTGCATCACCTTTTTTATATGAAGCAAATCTGTTAGACAGTCTGTTTTTTAAGTCATGATGGAGAGTGGGGGGTACAAAAATAGCATTTATCCTCATCAGTCCCTCACCAAGACAGATCAGACCACTCATGCCAGTCTTGCATGGAAAAGAACCCAGCATACGGCACATTGTTTAAAACAGCTTTTTTTCATAATAAAATTCTCCAGGAAATTACTGAGATATAATTAACTGAACTACTGAATACTTACTATAACTGGATGTACTAAAGCTATAAAAAATAGCTAAATTAAGCAATTTCTGTGGGGAGAAAGTAAACTATCCTCACAGGCAGTGAGAAGAAAGAGGTGACAGACATCTATGTTATGCTTTTGTCAGAAACCAGGTGCACATATGCTGGCTAGTGATACTGCAGGCAAAAGTCCAATTGATTGCTCTGGATGCACATATACCTACTGTGGAATGTACTCATGCATAATCACTCCAACTAGAACTGAACTGGGTTCTAGTGCTATCTGAGGCATATTTACACTTTAAAGCCATTTTTCCCCCAGTCATGAATTGT